TTTTACTATGAAAATGTATCGCATGTATTTTTACGATAATTTTTATATACTTAGTGTTTTGACCTAAGTTTTGGTGTTAAATTTTTAGCCATAGCTGGGATCCTAACAGGAGCTACCACCCCCGGTTCTTGGTGGATCTGGAAACGACAGCAAATAACAGCCGATTCCACGCCCCAGAAAATCTTCAATTCAGAGGCCTTACTGCCCGTTGTAGTTTATCGTCATACCCAAAACGGTATCCTCATCGTAAAGGTCGGAACTGGCTTATGTAAAGAATGGCGCTAATAAAAATATTTGCCATGGAAATAGCCAGAAAGTCATGATAGATTAGGATGTTGCATCTGTGAGAAAATGGCTGAAAAGGTAAATATATGTCATCCCCCAACATGGGTCACGTAAATAATGTTCTATTCTGGCAAAGAAGAACAGGTGTTTTCACGGAAGATTTCTTCAAAGTCTTCGAGGAAATTAATGCATCAAATTAAACAAAATCCAATCGTTACGAGTCAAGAGTTGCAGGATTATTGGCTTTCTTCAGGAATCTGCGTCACTCAATGGACAATAAACAATGAAATTCATAAGAACAATCGAATTTTACGCCCCCCTCGGAAAACTCCATTGCTATTGAAAAGACACAGAGATGCCAGGTTGAAATTCGTTCGTGAACATAAGGTTAAAGAAAATCGTATTGTGAAAGAATATTATGGACAGACGAAACCAAAAGTGAGTGGTTTCGACGTCATTCTAGAAATCATATATGGAAGAAAGATGGTGATGCCGTCAAACAAAGGAACACAGTTCCAAAATGTGAAATTTAGTGGTGGCAGTATCATGGTTTTGGGATGCTTTTCTGCAAAAGGTACTGGCAACATATCACTAATAGATGGTACAATGAATGCCGCAGTATATCAAAATATTTAGAAAGCAAATTTAGTGATCTTGGTTTAAAATCTTGCACTTCCTCCTGATTGGATCTTCCAACAAGATAATGATCCTTAGCACACTGCAAAATCTACGAAGAAATGCCTTGCTGAAAATAATTTAAATATCCTGAAATGGACAATCAGTCCCCAGATTAAGACACAATCGAGAACGTGTGGCGTTATTTGAAAATTCAAATCCAATCGAGCGCTCCAACAAACATCCCAGATCTGAAGACCATATGCGAAAAAGAATGGAACCAAATACCAACTAAAATTTGCAAATCATTAATTGAGAACTATAAGAAGAGGTTGGTTGCTGTAGAAGTGAATAATGGCTATTCTACAAAGTAGTAAATGAAGATTATGTATTCTTTTTTTTTGTATTGTATGAATATATTTTTCACTCATTAAAATGGATAAATGGGAATGTTCTTGATTATTTCATTACTTCAACCTCTATCCATTTTAGTTGTTGCTGCTCTTGGTATTCCTCAAGTGAAGTGGTTTCCGTTATTTAGTTGTTTATTGTATTGTATATATGGGGTTTAGTTAGTTTTTTCATAGAGACGACGAGGTATTATGGTGTTTGTAGTTTGAAAGGTACGTATAAATGCGTTGTTTTGGTGTCAGGATTATCATTCGTACGACTGGGTCAGTGACTGCGGCTAGCTAAGTTAAAACTAAGACAGAAGAAGACCGTCCTCTCCCCATTCCCCTATTTCGGCCTTGTGCCACATTTCTGTTTTTAATTTCAGAATAAATATTGTTATTTAGTTGTTTTTTGTGATTCCGTAGCGCGAGTCAGGCATGTTTAAAGAAGAATGATCTTTTCCTAGGCTTTCAAGCATCATACGCTCAAAGCCATTTTTCGCCATTGGTCTTCGAAAACGGTTGCATACATTTGTCAGTTCAGATATGACTGGACGGGTTTGTCACCATGCATGACATCCATGTGACAGACGCGATCTGACGAGGCTATTTAAAAACATAACTCGTTTTCAGGTTGATTCTTTGGTTTTGTAGCAATTTGCAGACAGAACTACTTTTGGCTCAGCATAGTCTTCGTTCATTTCCCGCTTCTCCTATAAGAATAGAAACGTCTAGAGCAACTGAAGAAACCTCAGGGTCTGATCGGTGACGATGAAGCGATACTGGCTTGTTTCCGAAAACAAATTAATTTTGAATTAATTTTCTAACCTACCTCTTTTTTTTTATTATTATTCAAACATCCCCTTCTATTCTAGACTCTGGCTCAGAAGTAATGAGGAAATTGACTGATGCAAGATTGCTTTTCGGACAGCGACTTGGGAATAATCTACTCCCCGTAGACCATACAGAGTGTTCATTAAAGCATTCCCAGTAGATTACTAATTAGGAGAGAGGCTTGCAAAAGGTTGCCGAAGGAGACAGCGTTTTGTCGATAATAGCCAACATAAGGATACTCGTCCTAAAATCTCAGCGTGCAATAATTAACATTTCTTTTCTCAAAAGTCCGGACTAAAATGTCATATCCCACAACGTCTAATTATAAACTGGTTTACGAGAACGGTGTTTGCGTGTGCGTGTGTATGTGTGTGTGTGTGTGTATGTGTGTGTGCGCGCGCGCGTGTCGGTTCGAGAGGAGAAAATATGAAAACTCGATTTCCGACTTGTTGACAACTTCAGGCAGAAATCTTCGCGCCAAAAATAATATTCGCTTTTTTTTTTTTTTGGCGCCAACACATTTGTTTGTCTCCTTCCAGTTTTTGCCTCTTCTTAATCACCTGCTCCTATCACTTCGATTTTTGTTCTTTTAGCGTTCTTACTTTTTTTTAGCTCGCTTTCTTTCTTATTAGCTTTCTTTCTTTTTTAGCTAGCTTTCTTTTGAGTTAGCTAGCTTTCTTTCTTTCTTTCTTTCTTTCTTTCTTTCTTTCTTTCTTTCTTAAATAAAAGGACATGTTGGATTTAGTGCCTTGACTCAAAGAGTTGCGGGTTCAATACCTGGCTACGGCAGCGGCGACCGAAAAAAAAAAAAAAAATTGAGTTAAAGGGAGATAACTGAGACATCCGGAAGAGGCATGTCACGTGGAACTGGAACAATCTGCCCCGGTGGACGAAATAAAGAGTTCAGATCGAAATTTCAATCGCCCGAAGAAGGCCGGAGTGTATAACAGCTGAAACGTCGTGAGCATGACAATAATCCTGAGGACAACAGTCCGAAAATTGCAAATAATGTAAATTATTGCAATACCTCATTTTAGAAAAAAAAATATTCAGAAGATATTCTTTTTTCTATTCGTTTTCATTCAATTCTTGATAATTCATTCGGAATTCTTTCTTCCCTAAATCTTTTCCCTTGTTTTTTTTTTTTTTTTTTTTTACTTTTTTTAATCATGCCATTCTCCAACTCTTTCTTTTCATCTATGATTCTATTTATTCATTTACTTCTTTTTTTTCTTCCTTTTTGATCGGCGGCCTTGTCATTTATTTCATGCCGTGCTGATAGCTTAACAGAAACGCTGAAAATATAATCGACGTGACGAGTTCAATACCACGTAGATTCTAGTTTCGTTTGCTTCGGGCTAATACCTTTGGAAAGGGCATGAATCAGCCATGTTCCTATTATTGGTTAAATAGCAAGGTGGACATAACTCTTTGATTTTCGATGGCAACATGTCTAATAGTAAGAAAACCAACATGAAGAATAAAACAAACTGCTATGTTTGTTATACGGTTAGTAACCATACGACGGCTATGGCTTAGGAGATACTTGACTTGAGTCATCCAGTTTCATTTCTCTCCAATTATTATTATTAATTCTTCTTTCTAATTCACAATCTCCTGATTATCCTCATAGGGGAATGTAGTGCAATCGTAACAGCAGTGTGGAAGTGTCTAGGGTAAGATAACCGTTTAATTCGGACTTGTCCTTCTTGTAGATTGGTAGCTCTACCAAACCTAAAGAGCCAACCCTACATGAAATCCGTTAGTGGCACGCCGATGGCAACGCCAGCGGTCCTCTAGTGGCAGGCCAACGGCAGGACACGGGTGGGCCTCTAGCGGCCCGCCAGTTGAAGCATGGCTTAGAGGAACACGCCGGCAGTCTGACAGCGGGCCAGCGGCCTTTACCGCTAGTCGCATGTCACCCAGTGGCAGATTGGTGGCTTGCGTGTAGGGATGTCTACCGTATTATTTTCACCCTGGGAAAAGATGACATCAGATATTTTTTTTTTTTTTTTTGTTCGTTTTATTTTACAACGGTAGTAGTGCAAAATGAACGGAATTTGGGTCAGAATTTAAAACCGGAAAGCCGATTTAACTTCCCTAGATCTATGTGCCTGTTCTCTTAAGAATGTTGGTGATCATGGCTCTCCACAATGTTCTCTCCTTTGTAGCTCTTAATGATTTTTCACTTTTTTTTTAACTATCCTAAGCCTTGTTCCGCCAAACATATACTCAATATCGCAAAGTAAATTGTTTTCCTCTGTACCTCTTGCCTTCAGTCTGGTCTTGTGAATTTCAAATTTTCCAATAACTCTTTCCTCATTATGTGCCCTAGAAATGTTAACTGTCTCTTCCTGACGTTAATTATAAGTGTCCTTTTTGTTTCCATTTTCTCTAAATCTTCGTTGTTACCCACATGTTCGGTTCATGGTATTCTCAGCATCCTTCTGTAGAACCACGTATCTGTGACGTCAAGTCTCTTCTACAGCTATGTAGAGATTTTTCACCATTTCACGGAACTGTTACTCCACACGAAAATCATTTCAGTTATTGTATATGTAGTCTTCGTTTTCAGCTTTTTATCCGAAGTCTAATTTTTTTTATTTGTTGTTGTTGTCTTTCTATCGTTCTTTATTTCTTTCTCGATTTTCTTGTATTTTCCCCTCCCTCTTCCTTCATTTAATTATATATTTTGTTTCTTTGTTTCTTTTTTTCTTTTATTACTTTATCCTCCACTCTTTCCGAATTATTTCCTTTCAGCTTTTCTTACATTCTTTTTATCTTTTCTTTCGTTTCATTAGTATACTATTTATTCAAATGGTCGTACAACTGTCACCAAACACGCAACAGACAAGGAGACACATACGTGTATACATACGAAAAACGAGGTAGACAGGCAGCCAGATAGATAGATAGATAGATAGATAGATAGATAGATAGATAGATATGAATAAACAGAAAAGGATAGCTAGATAGATAGATAGATATGAATAAACAGAAAAAGATAGATAAATAGATAGATATGAATAAACAGAAATAGATAGATAGATATGAATAAACAGAGATAGATAGATAGATAGATAGATAGATAGATAGATAGATATGAATAAACAGTAATAGATAGATAGATAAATAGATAGATATGAATAAACAGAAAAGGATAGATAGATAGTTAGATAGATATGAATAAACAGAAAAAGATATATAGATAGATAAATAGATAGATAGATAAATAGATATGAATAAACAGTAATAGATAGATAGATAGATAGATAGATAGATAGATAGATAGATATTAATGAACAGAAATGTATAGATAGATAGATACAGAGAGAGAGAGAGAGAAGGGGAGAGATACATAGATATGGACAGAATGAGTGAAAATTCTCCTCGATTTTGATTCAATAAAAACTTAATTTGGCTGAAAAAATTAGATTTTTGAAATTGAATTGTGAACGAAGGTACTCATTGTGAAAGTAATTTTTCATTTATTTTATTTTTTTATCTTCTATATTTTTTTTTTACTTTTTGGCTTTCATTTTTTTTTTCTAACCTGTCTGCTTTGTACAAAAATGCAACCCATTTAATCCCGCCATTTTCGAGGGCCTCCGAGCCGACGCGTCAATCTCCCGCCTGATTCTATTCACTTCGTGTCGTCTGCTAAGTCGATCAACACTCATTTCTCACAGACACCCGAAAAAAGAAACCATGGCCATGAAAAGGTAGTAATTATTTGGTTATGGAGAAGTCGATTGAAACGAAGAATTGGTTTTCTGGTGGGGGAAAAAAGGATGGCAGCGGAGAGAGGGGGAACATGCCTTGGCACCACTCCATATTCCCTTTCAGAGAATTGGAGACCGTCACCGCATTCAGAATACAATTATTAGTGCCTTTTCAAAGTTGTCATTGCAAAATTTTGAGGAACATCGGATATAAAAAGGTTGTGTCTATTCTCAACCTCTTTCTCCATTGTCTCTTTAATTTCGCTTTCTGTTCCTCACCTTTTTTTGTTAATTTTTCGTTCATCATACCTTTTTTCTTCTTCTTTTAAGTTCCTTCTATTTTAATTTTTTCCTTTCTTTTTCATTATTGTCTTCTTTCTATTCCTATCGTTATACGTTATTCTTTTTTCTTATTCTTTCTCTTTTCATTATTTCTTTTCTTCTCCGTTTAATTCGTTTTCCTTCTTTTTCCTCTATTTTTCTTCTTCTCTTTTTCTTCTTCCTTCCATTCTTCTTCTTCTTCTTCTTCATCATTTTTCCCTTCCTTCATCATTCACGTACATTTCTTTCGTTTTTATTTTGTTCCCTATTTTCGCTTACTGCCATGTCACCTTGAAACACCGCTTCCTATACAATCATCGTAGTTAAGCAACGTCGAGCCTGTACAGTACCTAGATGGGTGACCGCTTTGGAAGACCAGATTCTGCAAGTTTGGATGTGCGAGTGGTGCAATGTGTGAGGGAATTTTAATCGGGGAGCCGAGTTTCAATTTTTAGTTGGGTTCGTTATGTTCAATTGCGCGCACATACCTATGGGAAAGGTATGAATACAAATCTTCTCCCCTCATCTATGGGTTAATTAGTAAGAATTGTATCATTAAATAACTTCTGGGTATAAATAACATGCAAAAGGCTGAATCCATCAATCAATAAAAGAATATTTTTTCATTCTTCTATTTCTCTTTTTCTTTATTATCATTTCTTCTTCTTCTTCTTCTTCTTCTTCTTCTTCTTCTCCTCCTCCTCCTCCTTCTTCTTCTTCTTCTTCTTCTTCTCCTCTCCTTCTTCTTCTTCTTCTTCTCCTCCTTTCCTTCTTCTTCTTCTTCTTCTTCTTCTTCTTCTTCTTCTTCTTCTTCTCCTTCTTCTTCTTCTTCTTCTTCTTCTTTCTCCTCTTCTTCTTCTTCTTCTTCTTCTTCTTCTTCTTCTTCTTCTTCCTTCTTCATCTTCTTCTTCTCCTCCTTCCTTCTTCTTCTTCTTCTTCTTCTTCTTCTTCTTCTCCTCCTCCTCCTTCTTCTTCTTCTTCTCCTCCTCCTCCTTCTTCTTCTTCTTCTTCTTCTTCTTCTTCCTTCTTCTTCTTCTTCTTCTTCTTCTTCTTCTTCTCCTCCTCCTCCTTCCTTCCTTCTTCTTCTTCTTCTTCTTTCTTCTTCTTCTTCTTCTTCTTCTTCTTCTTCTTCTTCTTCTATTATTTTCTTTTTCAGCCCCTTCTATTTTTCTCCCCAAAAAATTTCGGTTGAAGATGGAACAGAGCTTACTTTAATTCAATTTAATTCAAATAATTATATTGAAGGCTCTTGTTTTGAAACATGAGAACTCTTATGTATCGTGTTGGAATCATATTTTTAAATAAATAATTATATTTATGCTCTACTTTTGTATCGAGCACTATTTTTTAAAAATAATAACAAAAAGAACTTTGGATTGTTTACCTAACGAGTTCTTTCCTATTTTCTATATATTTTACACACACACACACACATATATATATATATTCCTTTTATCGTTCGCTTCTTTTTATTTTCTCAAAATATTTTCCTATTAATATTTTTCTTTTTCTTTCTGTGTTTTTCTTGCCTTCATCTATCCTGACGTTAAACACTTCTTTCTTTCTTTTTGTCTTTTTTCTTTCTTTTTTTACCTAAATTTTTATTTCTTTCTTTTTCTCACTGAAACCAAGTAGTGTCTTTTCGCCTTCTTCCACGTCATCAAAATTGTCTATTATTTACGAGATATTTTCAGGAGACGTTAAACACTTCTTTCTTTCTTTCTTTCTTTAATTTTTCAATTTTTTTTCTTTCATTTGTTTCTTTCCGCTGCCCTCCTGTTTGTCCTTAATTTTTCTTCTCTTCCAACCCGATTTCAAATTCTAACCAACCTTCTACTCTCTCTATTCCTGAAATTATCTTCTTCAGTCTTCTAGAATTCTACCATTCTCCTCCCCCGAAACCTTTTCATTCCGAATTCCTCTCCTATTTTAACCATTCCTTTCCAGCCTCTCCGTTTTCACAATCCTAGCAAGAGAAAGCAGACAACCGACATAGTCAAATATCAATTTAGTATCATTCCCATTGGTCGCTTCTCCTACATTTTCAGAAACCCACAAAAGCTTGCATACTTCTCTTCCTCTTTTTCTCATACACGTCTTTGCTTATACAAAATGGCAAATAACTAACACAACGGCGTAGGGCGGGGCATTGATTAATTTCACATTGACATTCGGGCCCCGAGCGGCTGGACAGTCTTGGGTGATAAATGACCCTGGAGAATGCAATAATTTAGCCAAGAGTCCATCTGGGTAGATATCAGCTCGCTTTGTAAAAATTGGCGGAAAATCACATTACATCGCCTCTTAATAAGACTAGAACACCTCTTTGGCGTCAGAAGACGGACGATAGAAAACTTTTCAGTTTTTATTATTGAGTTTGGGCCGGATTCAGCCGGGTTAGGCAAGGCAAAACAAGTCAAATGGTTGCATCATGACAATACAACGAAAATCCGAAGGTTTATTGGGATAGCAAAAGATGCCTTCCGAAAACCTAAGCGAAGTATTAAGAAACAGGAAAAAAATCGTTAGAAACAAAGAAAAGAGAACAACAATGTTATGTAATATTAGTTTTTCTATATGACAGTAAATACTGGATAATCTTATTACGTAGGAATCTTATTAATTCAGGCAACAGAAATTAAATTAAGTAATAAAAGAAAGGAAGAAACAAACAAAGAAAGAAACTAAATTTATAATTAAATGAAGGAAGAAGGAGGGGAAAAACAAGAAAATCGAGAAAGAAATAAAGAAAGATAGAAAGAAAAACAACAGCAAAAAATAAAATAAGATCTCAGATAAAAAGCTGAAAACGAAGACTCGATATACAATAATTGAAATGATTTTCGTGTGGAGTAACAGTTCCGTGTGGGTCTCCTTGTCTGTTGCGTGTTTGGTGACAGTTGTAAGACCATTTGAATAAATAGTATACTAATGAAAGGAAAAAAAAAAAAAAAAATTTAAAAAAAAAAAAAAAAGAAATAATTCGGAAAAAAAGAGGTAAAAATAAAATAATAAAAAAAAACAAACTAAAAATCAAACAAAATATAAGCAAAATTTAAAGCTATCCTTTTCTGTTTAAAGAATAAATCTATCTATCTATTCATTATTTCAGAAATCTATTTATCTATCTATCTATCTAAACTATCTCTATCTAACAAAATCTGTCTAAAAATCTAAAATATTTAAATTGTATTAAAAATCATAAATTTCATCTTAAAATATTTATTTTAGAGGAAAATATCTATCTATCTATCTTTTTGTAAGGGCATTTCTCCAGAATCTTCATTTTAAATCTAATCTATATCTATCTATCAAGGGAAAATCTATTTATTATCCTTAGATTCTTCTTCATCTATCTATTTATCTATCTATCTTTAAAATTTAAAGAAATTTAATCTATAAAAAAAAATCTATCTATCTAAAAAATGTCTTTAAAGAAAATTTTCTATATCCTATTCCAAAAATCTTTCTAAATTTTTGAAAAAAAAATTTTATCTTCTATAAATATATTTAAAACTTTCTATCTATATTCATAAATAATATCCATATATAATATATATATAATATATCTTAGATATATGGAAAAAAAAAAAAAAATGTATTTCTCTGAAAAAATAGAAATGAAAAAAAAAAAAAAAAAAAAAAATTAACTTAAAATTTAAAAAATTTAAAAAATCCGTTATACAAATATAAAAAAGAAAAATTCATGATATAAAAAAAGTTCTAATAAAAAAAAAATCTAAAAAAAATTTATCTTTAAAGAATGAAAAAAAATCTATATTAATTATTCCATTTATCTATGATATAAAAATGAATCATAAAAAAAAGAAAAAAAAAAAAAAAAAAAAAAAAAAAAACAAATAAAAAAAAATGTTGTATAAATAATTTAAAATATTAAAAAAAAAAAATAAAATAAAAAAAATTTAAAGAAAAAATCTGTTGAAAAACATAAAATTAAAAAAATAAATTTAACATGCAAATATGTTATATCTTTGAAGATATCCTAAATAAAAGAAAATTTCATTATAAAAAAAAAAATCTTTTATTTCGTTAAAAAAAAAAAGAAAAATAACAGAAAAATTGGAAATTTAAAAATTTGGAAACAAAAAAAAAAAAAATAAAAAAAAAAAATTGAAGAAAAAAAAAAAAAAAAAAAAAATAAAATAAAAAAAAAATAAAAAAAATGATTTCGTTTAAATTTAAAAAGAAAGAAAAAAAAAAAAAAAAAAACAAAAAAATTTGAAAAAACAAAAACAAGCAAAAAAAAATGTATGTCTTGAATTTTAAAAAGAAAAAATTTACAAGAATAAAAAAAAGAATTTTAAATAGAAAAACAAATTTTTCTAATCAAACAATATAAAAAATTTTTAAAAAGGCTAAAAGTTTCTAAAAAATTAAAAAAATTTTTTTAAAAAAAGGAGAAAAACAAAAAAAAAAAAAAAAAAAAAAAAAAAGAAATGAAAATGAAAATAAATGGAAAGGAAAAAAAAAAAAAAAAAGAAAGAAAGAAAAAAGAAAACAAAATTTGGAAAGCTTTATAAAAAAAAAAGAATTAATAAAAAAATAAAAAAAAGGAAAAAAAAATAATTTAAAAAATCAAGAAAAAAAAAAAGAAAAAAAAATTTCAAAGAAAGAATGAGATAAAACAATGTTTTTTGAAAAAAAAATAAAAGAAGTCACAAAAAAATAGAAAAGATAGAAAATTAAAAAAGAAAAAAAAAAAAAAAGTAAAGAAAATGAGGAACAAGCAAACAAATATTTATTTCTTAAAAAAGCAAGAAAGACACAAAAAAAAAAAAAAAAAAAAAAAAAAAAGCTTTCAAAAAAAAAAAAAGTAAAAAAAAAAAAAAAAAAAAAGAAAAATTCCTGAAAAGAAAGAAAAAAAATGAAAATTCAAGAAAATCAAAAAAGAAAGAAAAAAAACAGAAAAAAAAACAAGAAAAAAAAAAAAAAAACAAATAAGCTAATTCAATTTTTTTGAAAATTCTTTTTAAGATTTAGGAATAAAGAAAATGATAAATTGAAAGAAAAAAAAAAAAAAAAAAAAATTTTCGAATAAAAATAAAAGAATATAATGTAAATAAATTTTTTATCTATCTATCTATCTATCCTTAAAGAAAATATTGAATAATATTTTCTAAAAAAAAAAAAAAAAATTAAATAAAAAAAAAAATTCATCAAAAAAAAAAAGAAACAAAAAAAAAAAAAGTTTAATTCAATAAAAAAAAAAAGAAAAATAAAAAAGGAAATTGAGAAAAAAAAAAAAAAGAAAAAAAAAAAAAAAAAAAAAAAAAAGAAAATCTGTCCAAACAAACAAAAAAAAAAAAAAAAACGAAAAAAAGATGGGGGAAAATCAAAAAGAAAAAAGAAAAAAACTAAAAAAACAAA